ATAAAAGGAACAAACACCAGTTTGACAAACATTAAATTCAACATCAAACAGTCTAGCAGAAGAGATGGCTTGCCGATAGGGTATCATGTTGTTCCAAATTCAGTACCACAGCTTTGATTCAGACACATTGTGTGCTGTCTTAGCAAAGCACTTTTGGAAAATGAGCTCAAGATGGCAGGGGAACATAACTGGCCGTGCAGGAGCCCCCAGGGTCATTTGGACACTCACAGCAACTTCCTGATGAGAGCTGTGGCTATTCATTGACTCTTGTAGCCCAGCCATCAGAAGCCTGTTTCTTTGTTCTTGAAAGAAACAGGATCTTTGAAGGAATTATGTAGGTGGAGAGGAAGAGAAGACCTAACAATGTCAAGATTTATTTTAAATAATCTGAATAGAATTAATGAGCAAAAAAATTGGAAAAGTTAATTGTGCATCCTAACAACTTGGCTGTTCCCTTCCCTTTCTTTAAGGAAGGAAAATTTCTGAGGCTGCGTGAGAAGTAACTAACATATACCTACAGAGGTGCTCATTTCTCTTGTAGACAGACTATTCACATTATATTGGGCCCAGCAAGGTCTTCTAGCTGGAAGAGCTTCTAAATGTCATTTGCTGTGAAGGCAATAGCTCTTTGTGTAAGCCAAATTTATTTCCATTATGTTCCCTCTTATTCACAAATTCCAATAACAGCACCATTCACTCCTGTGCAACAATAGAGCATTGATTTCTCAGGGCTGCGAGATTGATATGAATCCTCACATAGAAAGATCTGCCTTGTTGGTGGGCATCTTATCTAGGAAATTGGAAGTTGAGTGACATGGAATCCATTCCTCACACAGAGGTTTGGAAACCTGATGGCCTGAGGAACTGGCCTAAGCTTTGCAGTCAAATAAACTTGGTTTCAAATTCCAGCTCAATCATTTATTTGCTGTGTGTCTTTTTGAGTTTATTATGTAACTTCCCTGAGCTCGTTTCTCACCTGAATGTAAAATACCACGTCCAGTATGTACAGAGGAATAGTGCTTGGCATATAATAAATACTTAAAAATGCTGTGTTATTAATAGTTGCACCTTTAGGGTACTAATAATGTTATGGACAATAGTAGTAGTATAATATTACTGTGGATATTAAATAATATTATGAATGCAAAACACTCAACACATGGTAGTTGAAAAAGTTAGTTTTTTGTTGCTCAGCTTGCCTGTGCCCGCTTTATGAATTCTGGAGACATTACATGTTTCTTCTATCTGTGAAAGAAACAGGCTCAGCATGACTCAGGGTCTTCTGGTTCCATTTTTGGCAGATTTCTCTCTCTTCTCCAGGACAAGCTATCATCCAGAAGCAAGGGGACATGAAAAAATAAAAGATATGTCAGGTTCAACTTGGTTACGGCAAGACTGGGAACAAGTCAGAAGAGACAGATGTGTTTAATGGCCAATGCATTTGTCCAAAGGAATCATTTTCACTGGCCAGGAGCCCAATTAAACCTGTAAAATGGAAATCCAGAAAATCAGATTAATGAGCCAGTCGTTAGTGAGGAAAAGACCCAGCTAATTCAGTGTTTAGCATGACGGATGGGCCCAGAGCAAATAATTGGATGACATTCATCATATGTAAAATAAAAGGTGTCACTGAAAGGGAAAGTGGTAATAATCTCTGGAATTTACAATGCCAGCAAATTTGCTTGTAAGGAAGAGAAAAGTTCATCAAAATAGATTAACAGCCGCTAAACTTTATTCCTTCCTTGCGTGGTTGCCAGAGAGCCACACAAATAATAGTGGAGAGGCAGCAAATGCATTAGTCTGGGGTTATCCCAACCCTGAGGCTCTGCTCTGAATGGGGGGAGCTCTTGGAGCTTCTGCTGGGACATGAGCTCCTGTCACCATCCGGGGGCTGGACCAGAATGCAGAAGTCTTCTCTACATCCATGCTTTAGTCACTAAACAATGGAGGAAATCAAACCCCAAGTTTCTCTGGTTAATCAGATTAATCTCTATGATTCATTATTCAACTAGTCCATAAGTATGGACCCCAGCTCTGTGCTTTACATTTTGGGGATGTGCTTGTTCCTCGTTAAGAGCTTCACATGGGCTGGAGTCACATGCCGGCTGTAACAGTGAGAGGCTGTGCACTGTGGGGCAGGTTAGTTCACACCTCTCACCCTCAATTACCTGACAGGTTAGTTGTTATTTTTATGTACTCACTAATCACTTGCTGTGAGACCAGCCATGCCTAGGAATCCAGGAGGCTGCAACCCAATAATAAGGCATGGAGGGATAATTACAGGAATATAAGCACCACAGGAGTAAATGTTGAACGTGCCACAGAAATGGAAAGAGCAGAGGTCAGGAACTGAGAGGAGGGGGAAATGATAATGCATGGGTGGCGTCCCAAACCCTTCCATGAACTTACAGGTCTTTCACTGAGGTTTAGAGCATCAGCTGACTTTTGGCAGGTTAGGAGAGGAACAGGACTAAGGCAGAGCTGCAGGAGCCAGCTTAGTACAGAGGAGGATACTGTGATGTCAGAGGTGCTGGGAGAACCTCTGGGCTCCTGGGGCTTCATGAAGGCCCTTCATGTTCTGGATTGTTCTATGGTGTATCTGAAGGGTAGTTTCCATCTTCACTACTTACCCAAGCACAAGCTCTCCCAGGTGGCATGTGCAGGAGTCTGTGCTCGCCCAGGGCTGTAACAGGCATGGCTGGGCTGGTACCAGGTCCATGGGGCCTATCACCCTATTGAGGGGACCAAGTTCTTCACCTTTGGCCTTGGTGACTGGAAACCCTATGGGACCCAGCCTTGCCCTGTGGTACCAATAAGAGGCCTGCTGGTACTCTCATCTATGGAGGTGGTTGTGTCCTCTTGGAAGAATTTTCTTTTAATCGCTGAGCTCTGGCCAACATTCAGTGATAGGACTAGTCATTTCTGATGTTGGTCTTATTTCCCCAAGGTCAGAGGTGTTTCGGAGATTAAAAACTTTATCGCTGGGTTTAGGGTTTCCTTTGGGAGTGAAGAAAATGTTTTAGAACCTAGATAGAGGTGGTATTTATGCAACATTCTGAATGTGCTCAATGCCACTCAGTTGTTCACTTTAAAATGGTTCATATTATGTTACATGAATTTCATCTCAATTAAAAACATTATCATTGTAATCACAAAATTCTGGAAAGTAGCTACATCTGGGAGGGAGGTGAGGCTCAGGGCAGGGGCAGAGCACAATTGTACTGGGGTGTATGTCAATTGTCATTGAAGTTCTTGTGCTGATCCCCAAGGTCTGGTCTCCAGACCAGTAGCATCAGCATTGTCTGGAACCTCATTAGGAGAGACAAGTCTTGGACCCCACTCCAGACTGATTAAACCGAGGCTATTGGGGAGGCCCAGCAGTGTGCATTTTAACAAGCTTCCCAGGCGCTTTTGATGGACATACAAGTTTAGAAAGTACCAATTTGGTTCTTGGTTTGGCAGCTGCACTTACATGTATTGATTTTATATTTAAAAATGAGACCAAATTAAATAAACAAATTAAAATAAGATCATGCAAGGACCAACGGTGACTGTGTGTTTCGTGCCAAGAACTGTATTTTGATTTGATTCTATGTGAGATTTATTTTTAAAAAAGGGAAGAAAAAGACCTCTCAGCAATTCACTGGTCTTATGTTAATACCCCACCTCTCAGCCAGTGTGGAACAACACAGATTCAGAGCAGATGTCGTATCAAAAAAAAAAGTCCTGGAGTTTAAGACAAGAATGATTCTAATTAGAAAACAGAGATATATGGATAGTGCTGAACATCAGGGAGAACACCAGTCTCTCTTCTTCGTTCATAGCCTAAGTCTTTGCACCAAGTTTTTCCCAAGGTTCTGCCCTCATGCTGACTTGAACATCTGCTCTACCTGGCAGCTTGTGGTGCCTGCTTGGTGTGCTGCCAATTTGTGCAGAGCAAGAGGGAGCCATGGGAGATGCCATCTCTCCGAGTGAGGAGCCATGGGTGGCTTTCAATAGAGATGTCACACCCCTCCTGCTCCCAGCAGCCCCTGTGGATGGGTGCCAGGTTCAGACCAGAGTGGGAGTACTGGCCAGTCTCCAGAAGTGCTTGGGCCTCTGAGAAAGGAGCATGTGCCTACAGTAATTGCCTCCTCAGTACAGCACACTGGTTGCTATTGTTGTCCTGCTATTTTCTCTGAACAGGCTATGTTATCTTCTCTTGTGCATATTAATTTCCCCTGAGTTAGGATAATTGGGCTGAGAGCAGCCATCTGCAGAGCTGTGCCACGTTGGCAGGACTTTCCAGCAAGCCCAGGCCAGAGGACCATTTCTTGGAGTGGTTTCCAGTTTCCTCCAAGAATCCATCTTTTCCCACGTGAGGTCACAGACTTCATTCCCCCAGCTGTGCATCAGCAGAGCTGAGACTCAGACCCAGGATTTCTGACTTTCAGATCCAGAGTTCTCTCTGTGAACTTTGATTCCTTTAAGTAACTTGCACATGGAAAGAATAAATACCTGCATTTGTAAATATGAAGGGCAAAAAATGCTCAGATCAGAAGTGAAATTAATTTCAGAGTAACTAGAGCTTTTGAGCAATAATAATTATTAAGGTCCAGGAAAAGAAATTTCTCTGACAATCATGTCATGGTTACAATGGATTATAAACTGTTTCTTTTTTAAAAAGAATAAGTAGATCATGGGTGTAGCCCAGATCCATAATTTCTTTGTTTTCAGTTGAAATTTTTTACAAGTTGTGTATGTATGCAAAATAGAGTCTCTGCTATCCTAGAAAGTGCCAACTATGGGAAAGACTGCTGTAGCCACCCATTGATGGTCTAAGTGCCGTGACATGGAGCAACTCGGGGTGCTGTGGGATTGGAAGCTCAAAGCCAGCAAGGGATATTCTCTAAAAGGTTGTCACAAATCTGTTGTGGCTGTTGATAGAAAGGCTAATACTTTCCCTCTTGGCCATGTCCCATGGCCCTGTCTGACTTCTCTGTGTTTCCTCCATGATCCAGGTAACAACTGGGGGCAGAGCCAGCTACTACGTGTCCTATCGAAGAGAGGCCTTCACTCAGATAAAGCTGCCCAAGTACTCGCTGCCGAAGGTACGCCCCCTGCAGGCCTGGGCCGCGGGACAGAGCAGCAGGGAGAGGCTGCCTTGCTGGGCTGTGGAGAGGTTTGACCCTTGCCTGGGAGACGACGGCTGGGGCAGGCTGACTTACCACTGCAGAGTATGGCCGCAGCTGCTGTCGCTGCATCTGGGTTCTGTGTCCCCCTCTCAGCAGGGTACACAAGCATGAGCTCCGATTTCCTTTGACTGAAACACCTGGCGTAACCTTGGGTCATTTTCCAGGGGCAGTAGTGAAATGAGCAGCAGCCTTGGATTCTCTTCTGAGGTCTTTTCTTCTCACAAGGGTCTTACTGCCAGAGAGGGGGACAGGCTCAGGACGGCCCAGCCAGGAGCACAGACACTATGTCCGTGCGCATAAACTCTCAGGGAAGCCTCATGGTCTTCTCGCTCCTCTTTGCATTTTAAGCTGAATATAAATGCATTGACTATGCTTCTGTTCCCTTCTGCCACTATGAGAAATTAAAAAAGCATAATTTACTATAATGTTAATATCAAATGAGGGCATTTTAACTCCTTTGTTGGAAAATTGTTGAACTTACTTCTGTGGACCCCATCCCTTGTTCACAATGGCTTCTGGGAGAGGAGGCTCTTAGAACCTCGGTGTGAACATGGACAGGATATACTCCCTCACCTAATGAGGTTGCAAAGAAGCAAAGTTCAGGTTGGACATATATCAGGTTTGGACTATTACAAAGATTTGGGTCTCTGAGCTCATGCCAGGAAACATTATGAAAGGCTAAATGAATGCAGAGATAGGAGAGATTATGGGATAGAAGGTGGGTAATTGCTTCCTGTTTTTTTATTCATTTATTTATGAACGTGTGCATGTATGTATCCATTCATTCAGTTGTTCCTTCTTTTATTCATCCATTGAACTTTTCTTTCTTGCATTTAAGGTTTTACTCTGAACCAGGCCCTGAACTTAAGCTGTATGGATAGGGTAGTAAATAAGACTCACATGGTCCCTGCCTTCATGGAGCTTGTATTCTGACAGAGGAGAGAAACAATAAACAAGCAATTATAAGGCATAGGCAGTGTTGTAGGTACGGAAGTTCAAGAGCCATTGGGGTGTTATAGGTGGAGCTAACCAAATATGGGTAGCCAGGGCAAGTTTCCTTAAGAAAGAAAGTAATGTTTAAACTGATACAAGAGGGTTAAGGAATTAACCCTGCAAACAAGGGTTGGAGAAGCTGATAGGAAATACATGTACAGACCCTGTTTTAAGATGGTGTGGTTCCTTCAACAAACTAAAAACCATCTCAGAGTCTGATTCCAGAAGAAGACATAGAGAGGCTGATGAGGTGGCAGGGACCTATTAAGTAGCCTCAGGCCATGGGAATCAACTTCTCATTTTCTCTACCCTCTCTGTGACTGGCTCTTATAGGACTGTTGTACAGTTTGTGGTTGCAAGATACACCCATCAGATATTCAAAATCCAAGCAAGAAGGAGGTAGCCCTACTTGGAGAAGATAAGGCATGGGAAGTTCATAATCATGCTTTTCTAAGGAGAACAGTCCCTTGGAGTAACATGATACTTCCCATGTATTAGCGCAGGAGAAGGCTTGGGGAACTTTCCAAACCATATCTCCAAGGTAGGGCTAGTTTTTCTCTGTAGGTGTGCATCTTTTGTGTATTTTTAACCTTCTCAGGAAAACAAATATTTCACTTTCCAGGCTGCAGGTGGGGACAAATGAAGCCTGGAATTGATCACAACCCTAGAACACTGCATTAATGATTAGCAACCCTATGGCAGTTTATTGTGGTGGAGTGCCATCCACGCAACCCCTTTTATAGAACTTCATCCAGAGCAGCTTCTCATTAATCTGAGGGCTGCTGTGAAAATAGCTGGATGGTTATCGATTCCCGTTATTAGCCGGCATTGGCCCAGATTTTCGTAGCCTGGGCTGTGGAGGTGAGGACAGAGCTGGTGGAGGGAGATTGGTTCTGTCCATTGTTTAAAAATGGAAATGGGTTTTAAGCAAGTTGGTGTTGTTCCATGTGGTCTGTGGCAGCTGCTGGGCATCTTGCTTAAGGACGAAGACCTGGAAAAGCTCCCTGTCATCATTACCCTCACACCTCTACTCCCAGCCTGTCTGTTCAGAATATACTCTCTGGGGCACTCCCTGGCTTGTAGTGTTTTGCAGAGAATGAAATGAACACTATTAATAATGAGTGGAATTACTACGAGCAACAGCCTTGTGTTGAGTCCTTCATAACCCAGCCCCTGGCACTCTCAGTGCAGCAGGCATGGAAGGCTCGCACCAGCAGAGGTCAGAGAGGCAGGTGACAGGGAGCCTGGTAGCCGGGAGGAAAGGCAGTGGAGCTCATGAGCAGAAACCCTGAGCTTTCCAGCTCTGCCAGTTTCTTATCCATGAGCCCTGGTCATCTTAGCTGTGAAATAGGCATCATAATACTATTTGACAAAGCTCTGAGAATTTAATGAATGCTTCATTGTTGGTAAAGTGTAAAGTGCAAGACAAGCCTGAGCAATGACTGTGATCCAGGGGGAAACCTGCCTGGTGTGTGAAGATAAGTGCTTCTGGTGGGGTCACTTTCCAGCCTGACCTTGGACCCAGCGCTGCCTCAGGCTCTCTCTTTACCACCGTGAGTCTCATAAACCCTCTTTGGTCTCTTAGATTCTGAATGTGTTCTTAACTGACTACTCTAAGTCATTTCTATAAGGGAAAAAATGTCTGTTGTGTTTGTTTCTGTCTGGGGCTCAGTTTGGTAGGGACGTTTGAACTTTGCCTGAGCCCTGTGATCATAGAAAACATCAACACTTAAGAAATGTACCACACTTTTTGTTCCTGGAAGTAGCTCACTGCAAAGAACCACCCTTCCGCGTGTGCCTTGACAGTCTCAGGTATCTCCCATGTTTACCTTTGACAACACCAGACTCCCATTATTTATCTCTCTCAGAAATGATTAACTAAACTGTTTGTCCCACAGACCCATATGGACCCAATGCCTGCTAATTTGACTGGACCAAACTTAGTCTGGCTTATCTTCGCCACCAAGCCCCTGAACTTTGACCCATTCTTGAGCATATCTGAGCACTGGGAGCTTGGGCAAGCATTGGAACTCAGAACAACCCCTCTTAATAGCCCTTCTGAGAATCACCTGACTCTGAGGAAACCAATTTCCTGTTTAATTGCTCCATCATGCCATCTGCTCATTCCACTCCCCAACCCCAGTTCTTTCTAGACTTCTTTTACTTCCCCCTATAAAAGTAATTCTCTTCTGCCTTCACTCTGGGGTGCTTGCAGATCTTATGGCCAGAGTGTCCTCTCTATTGCAGTAGTCTTTTCAAATAACGTCTCTCCTTACCTAAGTCTGGGTTTCTTTTTATTTAGCAGTAGAATATGATTAATCTCATTTTGCATAATAAAAGAGAGGAGAGGGAAATATGTTTTAGAAAATTTATTATAATGATAATGATGATGATATTAACCTTTTCCTTAATTTACTTTGGGAAATTTTTCTTAATTTTTTTTTTTAGGGGAAAGGGTACATCATTTCACAAAATACTGATCTTTCCTTCTTGACTGTATCACAGCCACGCTTCTTAAAGCATTACCTGTAATTCTCATCTTGTTTTCTTCCTATTCACTATTCAACCCACTGCTCCTTGCCCTCTGTTCTCCTACATCTGTCCTCTATTCCACCAAGAATCCTCCAGCCATTGTAACCAGAGACCGCCTGTATACCAAACCCATAGATATATGTAAACCTTTATCTTTGTTTACCTCTCTGGAGCATTTGACACTGTTGAATAATGCACATTTGATATTCTTTCCTTTGGCAGTATTTTATTCTGATTTCCTTTCCTGGCTTCCCTTCCCTTGCCATGCTTTAAATGTTGATATTTCTAAATTTGTCTTCAATTCTGCTCCTGGGTGACCTCAACCCTTCTCTTTATTTTGGTGACTCTTGTATTCATAACCTCAGCCCCTATCTCCCCACTGAACCCTGGACTACAGATCCAACTGTCTATTTGAAGTACGTCCCTTCAAGGATCCCATTTAAAAACTCCAGAACTGAGATCAGAGTCTACATTATATATCTCTTATATCTCATCCTTTCCCTGTGTTTGCCTACTTACTCCATTTATTCACTCAGTAAACTTTTGTTGGATGTCTGTTACATGCTAAATACTCTGGTTAAGTACTAGAAATAAAGCAATAAATAAGAAGGACCTAGCATCTGTCCCTCTGGGCCATCTAATGAAAGAAACGGACATCAAATAAATAATTACACAAGTCATTAATTATGCCTGTAATAAGCACTCTAAAAAGCCAGCGGAGAATTTTGTAAATCGTGTATCTTAGATATTAAAGATGTACCCTTTTCCTTTATCTCCCCGTTGATTCTACCCCCTTAATATCTCACCAGTCCATCTCACAGGGTTCTCATAGAAAACCTACTTCCTCAGTTCCGGCCCTAGCATGTTACTACCTAGATTGCTGCAATGACCTTTCCAGCCTTCCTCCCTGCCGCGTTTAAATCTGCTCTTCGCACTGCTTTCATAATGAATATGCTCAGGCAGTGAAGCTTAACTTCTGCAACCAAATCTCTACACTGATCAACTCTAATCCTTCCACATTCCTGCTTAAAATTTTATGATGGCTTTGTGCTTATTTCTGCACAAAATTTTAGATGCGCTATACAGAACCCTTGTGATGTGGCCACTCAATCCTCACCTCCCTCCGAGGAAAACGGCTTCCGGCTATTCCAAGCTCCACACGTGTCCTTGGACGCTCCGCCCGTTCCCTCCCTGATGAGCCTTTGTACTTTCCACTGCACTGTCTTCAGCACCTGTGTTGTTAGCGCTGGGTGAAGTTCACAAAAGTCCACAGGAGTGTGTGATGTTCCCATCGCCGGGTTGGCATCTTCTTGATGTCAGGCTCTGTGTTTCGTTCCTCTCTGTATTTCTCTTATGATGTTTGGCTCGTGGCAAATGCTGACTAACAGGTGTTTCTATAATGCATGAAGTTATATTAAGCCCAGATTACAAGAGAATGTTTCAGCAACAGGGAAGTATTTCCACGATTGTTCACCGAGAAGGTGACAGGTTTACATTTTCAAAAAGCAACCGTCATTCTCCCAAATTACTGTATGGGGAAACATGTTATTTATAATAGTTTTCTAAATGAAAACATGTATGTGGTTATATCTGATATTCTCCAAATTCCAAGCTTAATGAAGTCCCAATCAGAATTTACTCTTACTGCATTTTCCTCCCCTCTGTTTCTCTCCTCATTGCCAATCAAATCTCTCCCTGCATGTTTTGAGGACTAGGACTAGCAAGAATGTGTTAGTAAGGAGGTGACACATGCTCTGTTTGGAATTGGATTAAGGTAGCAGCATCCAAGAAATAAGCTTCATTATCATTCAGATCCATATTGGACCAATTTTACTAAGAATGCTTTTATTTTGTCTTAAAGACTTAATATTCTGGTAATTACTGGTTGACCCCTATTCAACCATAGGACCTATTGGGAGATAGGAAACATAGTTGTGAGCTTTTCAAAGAATGGTTCCCCAGACTGCATGCACCAGAGCCATCTGGAGGGATTGCTCAGATGGCAGAATCTAAGGCTCCGTACAGGATGTACTGAATCAGAATCTCAGCAGTGTGACTCATGTGTCTGTATGCTATTAAGATCTCCAGCTCATCTTGTTGCAGACTGAAGTTATACTTCCACTGATAAGGAGTCTAACTTATTGATTCAAATAGTCTTGTGTTTAAATCTTAGTAATATCATTTATTAGCTAAGTGACTTTGGCAAAGTAAGAATTTCTCAAGCAGATTTCCAGAATCCTAGATACTAGGAAGCACTCTTTTAACTCAGAGCCTGGAATACCTGTTCACCCAGGTGGTACAGTCCCAGCACAGTTCTAAACTAAGATGCACTCACAGCAAATCAGGCTGCCTCTAATCCTGACCATGCCCCAGTGTTTTTAGTTGTATTTTCCCACTTCTTTTATATTAGTTTAGTCTAAAATAATTTAGCTCATTCATTTTTATGACCAAAACATCTGGGAAAAGCCAGGCATTTCTATTGCATTTTTAACAGGGTAAGTGAATTTAATCCGTATTTCCTGCAGCTGCTGTTTACCCTCCCACTGGGTTCTTGGGCTTCCTTTCCACACCAACACAACACAATTTCATCACATGGTTCTTAAGAGTAAGCCTTATTTCCATTTTGAAGGAGCTCAGCAAGAAGTTGTAATTCTACAGGGTGTATAAGTACAAATGAGCAAGTCAGATCCTAGTCGCAGTGACCTAGGGAGCTCAAGGCCAGAGGCTCAGCCCCATCGGGGAATTTCCAATAAAAATATTCAGAACTTGCTTTCTGTTTTCCCACCTCCCGGTTGTCCAAACCAATGGGCTTGCTCCGTCTTAAAAATCATCTTGGGGGAGCTCTCCATGGGTCTGATATTAAAGAAATTGCTGCCTCTGTTTATTGTTGAAATCATTTCTGGGAAAAGTTGGTCAAATAAGGTAAAGGCTAACCCAGCCTGATTACTGTCAACTCTAATTGCCTTTGCCCCCATTAACAGTTCTTCCCACCACAGTGACAAGGGTGCCTCTTCTGCATTCTCAGTATGCTGTTACTCTTTGCCCTATACACCTGTATAGTTTTGCAGTTTTAAACTACTCTCATTTTGTCAAATATTTATTAATGTCAGCATCTCCTGATGGTGTAAACCTTAGGTAAGGTCTTGAATTTGCAGTAATCACTGTACAGTGCCTAGTGTGGCATATGAAAACTGGCTTTTCATAAGGTATTTTCAATTGTGAACAATTAGATTTGATTTTAGAAGTGACCTACAAACTAAAGTGACTTCAGGGAACATTAATACATAGGTGGCAGATCATGGTACTCTGACCATGGAGAACATTTTGGTAGATAGAGCTCTGACTCCCTGTAAAAGACTACATGTTCAGGTACTTGATAGAAGCTATGGTTAAACCAAACATTTGTGATTTATATTCATTTCATGAGTCATAGGATTGCTACTTTGGTCTAGAGGCTATGTACCCAAATGCTTAGAAGCTAACAACTGAGTGAGAGTCATACCCCAGAGGTCCAGAGCCTGGTTCTGTCCTTACTAGCTATTTCATCTGAAGCAGGTTGGCAAACTTCTGTGTGCTTATTTTACTCCTCAGTGAAATGGAAATAATCATGCTACTTCCATGATAGTATTATTTGGGCTTTTAATTTAATGCATTTAGATGACTTAGAGTACTGCTCAAATGTTAGCTAGTTTTATTGGTAGCCCAACCTCTTCACTATTTTGGCAAGGTAATTGAAGCTTGGGAAAACTGATACATTCAACAGGATGCAGCTAACTTAGAGCAGAGCTTATCTATGACCCAGGCCACTAAACTCCAGGTTGAGTATCCTTTCTGCTCTATTAGTGATTCTCAAATATTACTTTACTAGCAGCAGAAACCCCCTCACCTTTTACTCCTAAAATATTTCACAGAACTGGTATAAAATAGATTCAAGTGGTGCTACTCTGGGTGAAACAGAATTGGGGGCCTAGAACCTCACCTGTTGACTTCTCCATACCACCCTTCTTGCATTCCCCATGAATGCAAAGTGTGAAACCTCTACACTAAAATGTTTGAAAACATAAATGAAGACCTAAAGAAGGGATAGGCCCTGTCTTTGTGTGTGTGAGTTTCCTCCTGAAAGGCTGTATGTCTCCGTTAGCACTAACACTAACTTGCAGATATAAAAATAAAAAATGAAAGTGGATGAATCCCTCGAAGCCATGGAAAATGATACCCACCAAAGCCCTTGTCACCCATCTTACTGTCACTTAGCAAGGAACAGAAATCATAAAGGTCATAATTTATAGCCTGGGCCCAACACAGAATTGTTTAACATTGCCTATAACTCAAGCCTTTTCTCAACTGTTTCATAAGTCATGGTAATTACTCTGGGTCCCAGTGGGTGGGGAGATAGGGAGATCAGCTACTGTACAGGTTTTCTGTCTTCTTACAGGACATGCATATCATCAGTACTGATGAGAACCAAGTGTTTGCAGCCGTCCAAGAATGGAACCAGAATGACACCTACAACCTTTACATCTCAGACACACGTGGAATCTACTTCACTCTGGCCATGGAAAACATTAAGAGCACCCGAGGTCTAATGGGAAACATCATTATTGAATTGTATGAGGTATGGTAGCCAAGATTATCCTGCACTTTTATCTGCCTCTTGCTTTCATAAGTTTTAATGGTATAAACACAAGCTTTGGAGTCAGTCCGTCCTGGGTTCAGACTTGAGCTGTACCACTTAGCAATTTTGTGACTTTGAGCAAGGAACTTAACTTCTCTGTGCTTCAGTTCCCCCGCCTATAAAACAGGGATAAAATAAAATATTTACCTAATGAGATTATCATGAGAAATAGAGATAATGTATAGAAAGTATCTAATGTGGTGGTTGACTCAATAGACCGTCTACAAATGGTAGCTAAATTGGATGTTCTTGCATATGTGAGCATGATTACAAGCCAGAGCTGAAGGTGCTTGGCCTAGATGTGATATCTGAACTACCTTTTTCAACTCTAGGCTTCTTACTATGGACTCTGGGTGGAGGTATATGTCTATTTTATATGCATTACATTGTTTGGAGTATTCTATTTTATGAACAAATCTCATAGGAAAAGAAAAGCAAACATCAGTGTTGGGGGTGAGGATGACAATATCTGTGCTTGGTGAAGAACTGAGCATGTTGTTGCTTTTAATATGATTGCTTTACTGAGTTTTCACTTATTCTGAGGTTTTGTTTTTAAATGTGATTACCAGTTAAAGGACAATTAATCCAGGAAACTGAGTGACTCCAAATAGGAACTAGAGAAAAATAAAACTACTTGTTTCAGTGACCCAAAGGACATAGTACTTTTTTATGCCTCTGTTGACAGTGCATGACCTTTGACAGTTCTGGCCATAGTGAAGGGACTTGCCTATATTGGTATGATGGACTGATTTGAAAAAAGGTGTGTCTCATTATCTAACATTCACTTGTGATTTGTGCTCAAACCTGTACCGGCTATGCTGGTTAAATCAAGGTCATTCATTCATGGAAGGACAAGTTATCTGTTGTGGATGGTAACCTCCGATGGCTTGAGGGAACTGCTCCCTTGTGAGCTTTCATCCTTGAGTAGTGGGAGCAGCTTTCAGAACAGAGAGATGGGTGCATGGGCTTCTGCTTACAGTGGGCTCTGCCAACATCTCAGTATCCCTACACTGGCATCTAAGTTGGCTGCTCCAGGTTGACAGTGGTAGAAACCTATAGGATTCCAGTTATTTTACTAGGGAGGAGGATTACACAGAGACATGGGGTGAATGGGACTACATTAAAAAGAGAGAGAAAGAAGTGAATGGCATTGGATATAAAACAAAATCAATAGAAATACCCTGACTTCCTAGGAGACAGTTGATAAGTGCTGAAATAATTCCCCTCCTAATAAGGTCCCAGTTTGGGCAACGACCCAGATTTTTTCCTAGAGTTTTAAAAACAATAAAGATGACTAACATATGTAAAGGGCTTTGGAAGGCTTACATGTCCATGCCTCTAATCATAGCAGGAGGCAGATATTCCTTTGCTATGGGGCAATAAGTTACATCTTGTGGGAAGGTTCAGATGAAAGTTCCTAGGCCTGAGGCCACACCAACCAACTTCCTGTTTGCACAAGTGAGGCTAAAAAATAAGAGTATTTTTCATGTTCCTGTGGTGAGACCTCAACAGGAGAGGGTTGGCATTGCTGCAATTGGTCTCGCAGCTGAAAAATCCCTGTGTCTCTGACTCAGTTGATATATAGTGGGTGAGTTTGCCACCATATTGTTCTCCTAACAAAGGGTGCTTGAAACTCCTTGTTCATTTGAACAGTGAGATTCTCAAGTGGAGCATGAATCAAAATTAAGAGTGTGCTGAGGTAATTTTCTTGTTGCCTTGCTAAAGTTGGTCATGTATTTTCAGTCTTATTGGGGAGAAAAATGTATGACGTCACTGCATCCATAGAGAAGCCAGACGTGCCAGGCAAGGCAGCTTCTCTCACATCACTTCTGTTCAGCTTGTTCTCCATTCAATTTTATCAGGGTTCATTGTTCACCTCCTTTGTGTTCAAGCCTATGAGGAAGACAGAGGGATAATGGTTCTTATCCTCAGAGAGATTGTAGTCTAGTTCGTTGGGCTTTGAGGGGTCAGTAAACAAAGTTTCTCATTTACCTGCCCAAGATCAGAACCAGTGAAACTGAGACAAAGGGTGAGGCAAATGGAGATCAAACATCACGTTTATTGCTTTTAAAAGTTATGTAGGAGGAAATGGGCTTGCTAATACTCCACCTGAAAATTGGATTTATCCATCCAATCATAGGCCAAAATAGTAAATCAAAAGCTCTCCTACGGATGGCTGTCCCTATAGCACCACTGCATTAGGATGCAGAAAATGTGTTCTCTCGGGCAGATCCCAGAAACAGTGGGCATGGAGCTGAGCTGTGCAAGCCCAGCTCTTATTCTCAGTGTTACCAGTCTGATTATCAGTCCTGTTTCCCTGGTGTGTGTGTTGGGGGGGCATGAAGAAGTGGAAAGCATTCCATATATCAAGAGTGGCACCGGCCAAGAATTAGACTGAAGGTATAGATTTGTAAGCTATAAGCTAGCCAGCCTGTTGCATAGAATAGATGCTTGTCAGGTACAAGAGTGAATGCTAGATAAGTAGTTGGTGTTAAGATTCTAGAAGACATGTTTAATACCAAAGAAATAAATTGGATCCTAACACTATCTAGACAATGACCATATTGGAAGTTGTTAGAGGGTGATGCTGTTTTGCACCTGGAGATACATTCTGTGATTTGAAGATAAAGTTTGATTTAATTAGTCTCTAAGGGTCATTAGACTTTAACCTTCTTCACTGGAGATTTTCATAGAAACCAAGATTGTGTACCATATGGCCAGTTAGTAAAGAGACCATAATTTTTCTGGACTCTGAATGCCCTTGAATAACGCAGCTGGGAAAACTAGTAAGTTTTCACATTCAATTCAGCTGAGTTAACACACTTTCCTGGAGTGTATTTTGTTTGGTGAGATGAGGCTGGTGCATGAGACTTACGATCTACTAGAAAGATATAAATGACTCTGTTAGAGCACTTAGTGATCGTGGACTAACTTGTATTAAAGGTCTGATTCCCCATGCTGTAGAATCATTAAAGAAGAAGGTTAATTTTAACTCAAGGAATTTGGGAAGACTTGTAGATTAATTAGTTGGCTTAAAGGATGAATTTCTGGAGCTTGGGAGAAAAGCATGTCTGGTGGAGTCCCAGCATGAGAAGAGGACTGGTGTCTGATGAGTAGGGGTCATTTTTATGGAATGTTGAGTGATGTTGGGGAATCTTGGGGATAAAGGTTGAATGACATTAGTAAAAGGTTCAACTGAAAAATAGGGCATTTATTCAATGGGCTAGTATTTATTTACCTTTTCCTCCTATATCTACATATCTACTTGAATGATATTTGCATGCATGATATAGTCCCCTTTGCCAAGTTAATGTATAACTTTATATTATTATGTAATAGGATGGTATACCTGTTTTCCCTTGTCTGAAATGGCAGAGATGCCTCTGGTAACACAAATGTGAGGTGTTCCGGGTGACCATGGCCTCTTAAAGCTACTGATCTATCACTGCGTCTTCCATTTGAACCTCTCAAGCCTCTTCTTGACAAAGGAAAGGGGACAAATAACTTATCTGAGAATTCATCTTGCAGAGCTTCCCCCTGAAAGACCTTGCAAACCAATGGGAATCTACCCTCCTGAACTCCTAAAACCTAAAAAGGCAGAGATGTTGTTCCTGGTCTGTTGTTAAGGAGTTCCTTGTTTGTTGTCTCTTTAACCCCTGCCTCAAAGTACAGTATTGTCATGGCTGTAATTGTATAGTCAGGGGAGAAAATAATTCTTGAAGGCCAAATAATAATCTCTTCTTTAAAGTGTCAGAGTGCATTCCCTCAAAACAAGGCTGATGTTGACAGTGAATGTAGTCAATTATGTGTGTTCTCCATTATTCTTATGACACTTGTTTTGTGTAGAGCTCTGCTGTGGTTCCTTCACACCCCTCACTGTAAACTGCATTTCTTCTTAGTTGCTCTGCACTGATAAGTCAAGAACCAAATTTTTTTCCCAAGACCTTCAGTTATATAAGGCAGACATGCTCTGAGCTGCTGGTCTGCTGCATTTTCCTCAATACTTTCCTGGATATCAATCATCCAACTTGTAACCCTTTATAATAATAGTAACAGCAGTGTACCAGGCAATGTCTAGACCAACATTGTTGAACAAGTGTATAATGCAAGTTACACGTGTACTTCTAAATTTTCTACTACATCATGCATGCAAAAAAGTAAAAAGAAATGGGTGAAATTAATTATAATACATTATACTTAAACCAAACTATCCAAAATATTTTCACTTCAGTATATGCTCAATATGAAAAATTTATAATGAGTTATTTTAAATTTTTTCTGCACTAAGTCTATAAAATCTTGGGTGTATTTTACACTTCTCCCATATCTCAATTCATATGCTAAACTTTCACCAGAAATACTTGATCAGTATTTACATTTCATACAATTTACAGTAGAAAAAGTAGATTCATATACCCAGGGGATTCCAAACATACTTACAAGTTTGCCAGTAACTGAATTGGGTTATTAGTTTTTAATTCTAAGTGCCCGGTAGCTATATGTGGCTAGTAACTACGGTATTGGAGTGCATAACCATAAAGACTTCATGTAATTTTTCTCACTTTTCTAACACACTGTTTCTCTGTGGCAGGTGTCATTCCCATTGTACCTATAAGAGTGCAGAGATGCAGAACTTTTAGTAACTTGGCTCAGATCACATACCTATGTTTGAACCATCCCATGTCTACTTGACTAAAACGCCCAGGCTCTTCCCACTATACATTTTTTTTTCACATTTATTTTTTTGTTGTAGTGTAATTTGTATATAGTGAAATGTACCCTTTATGGTACATAGTTCTATGAGTTTTGACAGGACTATGCAGTTGTGTAACTACCACCATAATCAAGCTGTAGAGCGATTCTCTTACCTCAAAATATTCCCTCTTATGGCCCTTTGTTGTCAAGCTTCCTCCCACCCAAAGTCACTGGCAAACCGGTCTAATTTCTCTCTTTCTCCCTCTCTCTCCAGTGTTGCCTTTTCTAGATTTTCATATGACTGGAATTATATAGTAGGTAGTCTTTTGAGTCTGGCTTCTTTCACTTAGAATAATGCATTTGAGATTCACCCATGTTACTGAGTATCAGTAAATGTTCCTTTTTATCGCTGAGTAATATTCCATTGTGTGGATGAACCTTAGTTTGTTTATTCTTCACCAGTTGAAGGACATTTAAAGTGTCTCCAGTTTTATGTGATTATAAATAAAGTTTTTACAAAGATTCACATGAACATAAGCTTTTATTTCTCATGAGTAAATGCCTAGGTGTAGGATTTCTATGTTGAATGTGAATATAGGTTTATAAAAAGCCACCAATCTGAGTCTAAAGTGGCAGTGTCATTTTGTTTCCCCACCATAGATATATGACTTTTCTATATGCTTCACATCTTCACCAACTCTTGGTGGTATCAATTGTGTGTGCACGTGTGTTTACCCATTCTTATTGGGACCTATTAGCACCACACTGTGAGTTTAGTTTGAATTTCCTAATGCCTAATTGTGCCGACCCCATTATAGTTGGGCATATAAAATGAAAGTCTCTGAGCCACCTTAGTGTTCTGGTCTCTTTGCCTATTTTATTGATGTTTCTCTGCTTTCTCTGTGCCTAACACCTGCCCTCCACCTTCTTGTTTATCATGACCTTAGGTGACTCTTCTTTGGCCAGATGGACAACTGCTTTTTGATTCCACAGGGACATTTTTCTCAAACCAACTTTCATCAGCCCCTCACCACAGGTGCAACTCTAGGAAGTGCCTGAGGCAGACTATGGTAATTGCTTTTCTCAGCGGAGCCCTGCCTTCCTGGTCCTGAGGGCCCAATGATGGGAGCAACAGATGACCATGCCACCTGGACTCAGTGCCCTGCCAAGGGGTCGCTGTCAGTTTCCCTTTGCGCCTCAGATTAATTTCAGAGGGAAAGTGGGACATGCAGGCCTGAGACTTGCACTGCCCTCTTCTGTGGGCGCCGTCACAAGCTGGTTCCTTCTTGAACTGTGGGGAGAACAGCAGCAGCCATGCTTCTGACTTCAGATGACAGGGGGAGGAAGAATGTATAAGCTTATCCTATGCTGGTACCTTCATGGACAGAGAATTAAAATGTATATCACATTCTCCAGTTCCTTTATATTGCAAGTAGTGAGGGAACAGTGCTTCATGATACTTTTGTACCAGAGATCTATATGGACCTACTAGCTACAGATCCAAGCATATGTGGGCATGGGTCTACTAGGCAGCAACATAAATATATTTCACACTTGGGTTTCAGTTAAAAAGTTTGAAAGTTGATGGCCTAGGGTACAACAAATTTGGAAGGCATTACAAAGTGCCTTCCAAATTTAAAACCCACTTATATAAGATTTAGAGCCAAGAAACAATTCAGTAATAATGCAAGGGCTTTGACCAATTCAAATACAAATGGCTAGTGTTCTGGGTTTAGATGGGAGGGAGATTGCTGTATTATATGCAGTTGCAGGAGAAATGTCTTCAGAGTTACAGGTGGATTCCCTGGAATCTTTCTTTCTGACATCTGTTCAGCCTCAATTCTCCTGATTTGACTCTCAGAGTATGTGGTACACAGAAAATACCCATCTAAGTGGTGGAACTCTCAGTGGGAAAATAGGATAATGACCAGTCTATTTGCCAAATATACTCATCCGGAAGAACACAGGGGGATGCCCAATGGCTGGTAATTCATGTTGTAATGCACTGAGCTAAGGAGGGAAGGGATAGGCTGCAGGAGCTCCATAGGAGCAGACTTGGGAATCTGAGTCGAACGTATGTATTTTCTTCCAGGAAGTGAATAGCAAGGGCCTGGGTATGTGTTGGAGGGGGTCCTGCTGGCTTAGGGAAGAGAGTTCTCTGGAATCATTAGCTGGTGGTCTAGCAGAAAGGCACCAACTCTGTGGCTAAAGAAAATACCAAAGGCCTTCATCAGGCAGAAGGTTCTAAGGAAATACAGGTTCTATTCTCTGTGATGAATAATTGGCAGTTGGGTTTAAGACACACACCTTTGCAGTTGGTTTTAAAGATTGAGGTGATATGAGGACCGTATGGCCCCCAGGTGAATATATAAGAAGCCAGCCTTCCTGAAATGTCACTGACTCTAAGCACCCAGGCCAGGGAGGGGGTGTCCGGGGAAGGACAGGACTCTGGCACTGGTGCCCCTCCTCTGCCTTGGCATCCTTCCTTACCCCACCTCTGGTCAAGCTAGGAATCTAATCAATTCCAGTGTTGGCTTTTTGTCAGATTCCCCTGGTGGTGTCTTTCCCAGATAATTCTGTTCCTTCCGACATTCTCTGTCCCTTTGTTTGTTTTTATTTGGGTTGGCATTCTCTTTCAAGGCCAGTGCGGTTATTTGTTTTTTTAGAGACTTATTTCACCAACTAAATCATGTCCTTTAAAAAATTAAAGGGCTCACTTCCGTGGAATTCTTTCCCACTGGTGTGTGTGTTCTCTCAGAACTGCAATAAACTGCAATTAACCATGATTCTCAAAGACTCAAAGAATGGGAGGTAAATACAATTAGAATTTTGAGATATCTATTATCCAGAAAACCTGCCATTCAACCTCTTGTTTATATATATCTAAACTTTTTGAATTACCTGTTGGCTTTGGGACATGCTGTAGTTGTAGGGAAGTTAAGGGAATCTTTCTTTGACATAGGGTGTTGTCATTCTAAATATCTGTTCTTATTGCTCACTGCATAGACATAGAAGGAATAAAAGTTTATGTCAAATCTGTACTTATTCCAGAACCCTGCTGGATCACAATCCTCTAGCTACTTGTTTTGTGGCGATGATATTTTCTCTTCAAAATATCAAGGGCAGGCAAATCCCGATACCTTGGGACTCCGGTAGGAGTGCTTGGCATTGTCTCATGTATCCATTGGCAGCCAACTGAGGAAAGAAAGGCAGGGCAAGGCTAATTTCACCTCTTGCAAAGTGACTGTCGGCTGAGATCCAAAGATGATATGGGAGTTGTCCCTAGTCACACAGCAAGCTGCACAGTCAGAGACAGATGCCAGGTCACTAAGCTGGGTCACTTGCCCAAAGATATCGACCTCACTGCTATCCGGGAAGCCTCAACTTCCAGCATTAAGGATTATACCTTGATGCCCTGAAAACCTGTCTACAGGCCCCTCCTGAGCTAAAGTCCATGTTCTCTAGGAGCGGTTTTCCACCACCCCCACCTTGGAGGGAATGTTAATAGTTAATAGAGGACATGGTCTTATGAACAAAGCACAGAGCAGCATCTAAAGTGGGAAAAAGCAGGTATGTAAGAGGGGAATGTGGCATCTGGGATAGGGGGTGGAGGGTGCAGATATGAACTTAAACTTCTCTTGAAGACCACGTGGCATACAACATTTCTCACCATGTTCCTCCTCTTCTCTTTTGTACGACCAGCACCCTGAGGAAAATGCTGGAGCCTCTCCAAGACTGTCAGCCAACATGGTTCTCCATCTCTCACCCTTTTTCCTAGGTAGCAGGTATCAAAGGGATATTCCTGGCAAACAAGAAGGTGGATGACCAAGTGAAGACATACATCACTTACAACAAGGGCAGGGATTGGCGCCTTCTGCAAGCTCCAGATGTGGACCTGAGAGGAAGCCTGGCGCACTGCCTGCTGGTCAGTCACCCAGGCTCATGTGGAGTCCGCATGGCAGGCTGGTCACCTGCGGACCTGTGTCAGGGGCTTTCTTCCATCAGGGGGTTGCGGGGAGGTCTTAGGAACTTGGCTGGTGCTGGGCAGGGATTTCCTACAAGTCCCCGGGCATTGATCTATGGACGCAGACTGCCATTCCTCTTGGATGGAAAATTTACTTCAATTCCACAGACTTTTACTGAGAATATAGCATGTGCTCCAACTCCTAGTAAGATGAGGAAATGTACAAGAGAAAGTGCCTGTGTTTCAGGATCCCAGGCTGAGCTCAGTTGTGGCAACATTCTTGTGAACTGAGACTGATATGATGCAGTTTGATGAGTGCTTGATAGACGTCAAGGTGAGCAAAAGTTGCCTTGAATCATAAGAAAGGTGAAGGTGGTATATCCACATAGGATAGTGAATCTATCAGCATTCTCATGGTACCAGCCATATGGAATATTGGGGTAGGCACAGTGGACGGCATGATTTATAAGATGTTATCTCTACCGTCAGGAGCTGCAGCTCTAGGTGGGGATGGAAGATATAATTAACAATGAAATTCACAACCCTCAGTGCCCTCTTAAAGAGGACCTATGTGAGAAACTCTTCTAAGGTCCCAGAAATGCTTATGTTTCTCCTTAGCAAAAAGTTGCCTTTTGCTACTTATTAAAAAGCTTTATTAACCACATTATCAGATTCTAGACATTACATTGACAACTGGAGATAAAGTGGGAAATAGGGCAGACAGGCCTTTATACCCTTTTGCAGTTTTCCCTCCAACTCCATGTTATTTGCTTGGAGTACTGGGAGGGTAAGAAACAAATGCCCGCCTACATCTAGGGACTGGTCATAGCATGACATTTTTGCCCCCAAAACTTACCCATGGCTTCATCTTATTTTCTTAACTTAATGTTCTTCTTTCCCAAGTTTCATCATTTTATTATTTTCATGTATTACATAGGACACATCTCTATAAATCCCTAATCCTTTTTAAGAATACCCAAAAAGGGATAAATAAGTAAATAAATAAAGAACACAAGCTTATATGAGTTTTAGATAATGGCTTCAAACATTTCAAGTAAAATTATAAACAGAAACTAAATACATAAGAGAGAGGAGACAGCCTGGTTGAAGAAGAAGGTGGAGGGCCTGGAGACTGTTTCCCTTTTCACCCCTCCCTGTGGCCCCTTAGGGCTCCAAAGGCAGAGTGTGATGGTCAAGATCAAATCTGGCCAAAGGTTAGTGTTGTCCGGTGGAAGGGAACAGTCAGAGACTTTGTAAGGCCAATGATGAACTGGACCTTGAAGCACGGGGCAGGGGGAGGAAGAAGGGGAGGCATACAATCATGATGGGTACTCAGAGCAGCAATATCTGCTCTCTCAGGTGAGGTGACCCCTGCCCCAAACAAGTGGATGGCTTACATTGAATCCTTGCTCTTTGCAGAAGCTGAGCACCTGGATGCTCCTTCTGGTGGGCCAGGGGTATATGTCAAGAGGGTACTGAAATGAAGCTCTTTTCTTCTCCATTTTAGCCCTTTTGCTCCTTACACCTGCACTTACAGCTCTCTGAAAACCCGTATTCCTCAGGAAGAATATCTAGCAAGGCAACAGCCCCAGGACTTGTGGTGGCTACAGGTAAGGAAGACATTTCCTAGGCTGCCGCTTCACTGAGTTCTTCTGGAATGTGTTTGTTTGGATTCTTGTAACTTTGGATTCATTTCATCATTGGATGAAAGCTGTAAGCTCTCTCCCTGCAAGCAGGCATAGTTTCAGAAGCTTGTAACTTCTAGGTAAATGCATTATCCCCACGTCACAGAGCAGAGTCCCCTGTGCTTAGCAAGAGGCCAGAATTCCTCAGAGTCAATCAACCAATCAGAAAGATTGTTTGTAATGGAGAATTTTCACTTTATGTATGTGGTGGACTTGATAATGGGGGGAATCTAGTAACCACAGTGTTGTTCACCTAAGTATATATTAATGATACCAAAATTAAAAAAATAAAATAAAATGTAATAATACGAACTTCCTAGCTCACCAGATATGTGTTGGGGGTAGTTTTCTCTTTACACAGAAGTTTCTTTGCAAAGGGTTTCACACCAGAGTTGTTTTTAATCAGGAGGTCTCTGGTGCATGTAAAGGTTTGTTTACACATGATTAACCACTTGGCTGAGAGCCTGGGGTAAAGGGCAGAAAAACTTAAGGTTGAATCAGTAGAACCAATGTCCACTGAACATCAATCAGAAATGAAGATAAAGCAACCCTGAAATGAAAATGAAGTCTTCAGGGAATGTGTCTGATTAGCATGCATTTGATTTACATATACCTTTTCAGGAATACATTGATGGCATAAAACAAGGCAGGCTTCTAATCTCAGAAGTTAGCATTCTGGTGTGAGGCAGCTTTTTTCTAATGAAAGCAGATAAATTCACAGTGACTTCCTGAGCTGGGGCATTCTGTTTTCTCCCATCAGCCTGAAGCTCTGGCCCCTGGAGTTACTACCCTTCTAGGCATGACTTCCTTCTCCAAGCCTCCAACCTTATGTACTTTTAGACCACCAGTGACCAATCACTCTAATCAGATTGATGGCTGGCAAAGCCTTCTGGCATTTCAGTCAACTCTTCTCCACCGCATAGGGGTTGGGCCCACCATATTTAACACCACTGGCTACAGGGAGCCCAGGACAGCGAGAGATGAGGGCAGGCCTACTGCTGTTCTCCTGGCTTGGGGAGGAATCCCCACTCTCCACCATCCATGTGCAGTAGACCTCCCAACTCCAGGACAACTACACTCTGCCTTTCCTCAAAGTCTATAGGAGGCTCTGGATTGGAAAACAGTAATCAACAATAAAAGTTAATATTATTTAAATGCTAATTATGTAACCAGGCATTGTCCTATGTTTAACTGCTCTGAATTTCAGTGTTTGTATTGGCGAAGAGGGGTTAATAGTACTGACATAATAGAATTGAAGGATTAAAT